AAACCGAACACTTATTCGCCATCATCTATTGATGGCGAATAAGTGTCCTAAAGTGTCCTATTAAGTGTCCTAAAGCTAATAGAACTTGATGGAGTCAAATAATCCATAAACTCAGCTCTGGCAACAGCACAACTCCATCACATTAAAAAAAACACATATTAGCCGCACAAACGGTAGAAAAAATAAGCTGCTTTTATGTTGTGCTTTAAAATGAGGTATAACACGCCAGGAAAGCCTATATTAACCTCGAAACCCTTTCATGGGCCAAAAAAATGAGATTTCCAATGTTTTTATGATATATATTTTTGAACTGTGTCACATTAATGGGCCGGGCCAGTCTGGTTCCAAGATCTTCTCGATTGTAACTTACTCCAAGAAGCAACACATTTTGAAACTCTTGATTGTTTGTTCTCCCTGAAATACTATTTATAATAAAACAGTTTGCTCTGCGGTGTCACTAATAAAAATACATGCCTATTAATAGACCACATGCAGACAAAGGGAAGAAAAGAAACATCCAAAAGCCTCAGAGCAAAGCGCGATAACAAAGTAAGTCACGAGGTCATCTCTGCCTGATGTAATGTGTCTTATGTAAGAATGAAACAAATACTGGAGACGCTCCTCTAAGATTTCACCCATTTTTGGTGCAGAAAATTGACAACATTTTTATTCATCCAGCAAATGTTTCTGCAGATATTCAATAGTCAAATAGTCTCTTAAACAAGTGTAGTTCAGTGTATGAATGAAAAGAAAATATTGTGAGAAGATTCAACATACTTATTTTTGCACGGTTCTACATAAAACACTTGGTTTTCTAAATAAAACACTGACTTTTCTTTGTTAATAAAGAGTGCAGAGTTTCATGTTTGCATCAGTTCCAGCTGGGCCATGTGATTGTTGTCAATGAAAAAGAAGAGCCATGGCTCAAAGAGCGTGGATTATGAAGAGGTTAAAGTATTAAAGTGGTTGTCTCAGAGACTTTACACAACCGTTGAAGTCGCAAACACAGATCAGAGAATCAAACAGTTCAAAGACAAGAAATAAAACAGAAAACACGTTGGTATTGGTCCATAAGGGGCAGATGACCAATGTCCATGAATTTGATAAATGACCATAAATATTGTTGAAAACTCTAAACCCAGAGGGAAAAGTGAGAAACTTCGGCGAGGTCCACATTTAGAGAAAAATAAGCTCCTCACGGACGGACTTTAGATCCAGGCGACAGAGTGTAGCCCACGAGGCGGGCCGGGCAGGGCATTCTGTAGGTGCAGATTCTGTACGGACAGAGTAGGAAGGAGGAGAGGATAGTGCTCAACCTGTGTTTCTTAAACTCAAGTCTTGGTCCTGAATTAACCAAAAAGGCTGGTGGTTGGCATGTCTATGGCAAAAGATGGACAGAGAAGCAGAGGCAAATATCAATGATGTGAGGAGTATCAGACTGGAGACTTAGGTGAAGGAAGACTTCTATCTGGACATGTAAATTTCTCCTATGTGAGATAAATAAAGAATCTTATCTTATCTTATCTTATCTTCTGTGTTATACAATCATTAACAGGATTTAAATAGCGCATGTTTGTATCTGATTTAAAGGGAATTTTCTACTCTTCCAATTGGATACACAGCTTTACTGATAAACCAAAAGAAACAAGTCACAACAAGAAGACACCACCACTGTCTCCAAACGTTTCTGACTTCACAAAATCACGCTTTCAACCATTTGTAATTTGTAATTGGATATTTGCAGTACACACACATTGCAATATATTGCATATTGAAAATGGACATTAAAGAAGACATAATGTGCTTCACCCGGCTCTTAAGTGTTTTTTTAATTAGAACTTTATCAAGATCAAAACCTACAAGGTTCAAGGTATCTTTGGTATATCCCCGAGGGGCAATTTGGTTGCAGCAGCAGAAAGGCACATAGGAAACAATACAACAGGATTACATCATTGGTTTAAAATACAAATGGCAACAGGGACTGCCATCCACACGTCATCCATCCATCCATTTTCTTCCCCTTAATCCATTTCTGGGTCGGGGGGGGTGGCAGTCAGAGCTGCACCCAGTACACATAGCACCAGCCCCTCACTGATCCTCCTGCAGGTGCTGAGTCCACAGGAGCCTGGATCTTCAGGCAAAGTGGGGTTAAGCCCAAGGACACAACGGCAGCAGTCATTAGTGAGAGTTGTGAAGTTGGTCTTTTTGTGGGCTTGACAAAGTTACTACAATCCTCTCATTTGATGCTTGATATTTTTTTATTTGTTTACTCTTTTTTAAAACAAAAAAATGATATGCTCTCACACTAAAATAAAAATAAGAATAAAGTAGACAAAGAGAAAAAAATATGATAACAAACCATAGAAAACAGAATTTTGATCATTATTTTTGCACGGAGTTGTTTATTACTTGCAGAGGTCTCAAACATGCCAAAAAGCATTCTGTGGCCCCCTAGTGGACATCAAAGTTTTATGTCAGTGTGGCCCCCACTGAGCAAATATGTTAAACGCATATTTACACCTTAAACAGCTAATACATTTCCATTGATATTGATCCCAGAACACAATAAGTAGCAATTAAAAATAAAAATAATTAAACCAGGTCTACAATAATATCAAAACTACACCACACTCATAATCTGTAGAAGTGATTCTTTGGTCAAGCTATACTTTCATCCTAAGTAGTAGTCACAGATGCAAACAGCGGGTTTTCTGGTTTCACTTTTCGTTTCTACGTTCTAGAAGAACAAATATGTACTTTCTCTACTGTTATTGTTAAAGAATGAGAAGATTTGACTGTTTGAAATGTCAGTGTATATTTATCAATCCAGGAGCTAACCTGGGTGTCTGACCATCCATCAATTTTCTTTCGCTTTATCCGTTGCCAAGACTTTATCCCAAACATCCCTCTCCACTCACCCTTCCTCCAATCCTGAGGCGTTAGACCAGCTGAGAGACACAGACAGAGACAAAGATAAGAACCATAAAAATCACACAAGGTATCGCGATCATAAAGAATCACAGTACATTAAAAAGAGTGAAGATACAATCCTTAGTTGTATGCACAGCTAAAAAGAACTGTTTTAACCTGGATTTGAACATTGTCAGAGTAGAAGGCATTTACAGGACTGTTTCAGATTTTAGCTGCATAAATCTGAAATGCTGCCTCCCTATGTTTAGTGCATGTGGAATTATTTTTGCCATTTTAGTTGTTGAAAATTTACCAAAAAAATAATACATTACAAAAAAAAAATGCTCTGCCCCTTTAGGTTACGTCAGAACACAGCCACACGAAAGGCTCAGCAAAATTCCAGAACAATGCAACTGAATCTTTTTAAAAACACAAACAATTCATAAATATAAATCAGTGAATAATGTTAAAATGGTTGCCGTTATCTTCAATCGCAGACCATAAACAAACTATGAATAAATAAGAACACGACCCGTAAAGCATTTTTGAGGAAGATGCTAAAGTATATTTTCTGTTTGACTGTAATTATGGATTAAAGGAGACGTTTCTTACACTTGCATGTGTCTGTGTTTGCAGCCGGTATTTCAAAACAAAATCTACCCTTCCTCTGATGGTAGAATGGGGATAGGGCAGGCCGATAGAATTGTTTAACCTTGATACTCGTTTTCCTTATATTATTTAACGTTCTAAAACATTAAATGACTAGTGTCTTAATAATTTTTAATTTCCAAAAATAATATGGTTTAATCCTTCTTTAGGTCTACTTTAATCGTTGTGTACCTAGGAACTAAACTTTGACACACATATTGCTGTATTATGTTCCTCACAGTAAACAATGTGATACCCATAGCCTATATGTAATTGTCTAAAGATTTTTTCATTTGTCCCCACAAATTTGTAACCCAAGTCTATCTAGGCCAAAGCGACTCTCCAAACGTCCTGGTACAAAGTGGATTTAGGCAATGGTTTCGGGTGGGACCGAAACCATTGCCTCTTCTGACCCAAAGGAGCGCTCCTCAGGCCGGCCAGAATCACAGAAGTGCCCAGATCGAGGAGGAGATGATCCAGCGCCATCTACAGGTGACATACAGGACTGTGAACGTTTACATCATGGTTTTGTCTGATTTGTAAACCAAGGCATGGAATGACGTAAATCTTTAAAGCTACCTAACTTAACTTGTTTGTCCTAAGTTTTGTAAAAGTGAAATGTGAAAATCCTGTGTTCATCTTGTTAGAAAACATTTGTTTCAAAAAATAATGGTATTCTACCATTATATAAATGCTGTTATGTTTGCATACTCGTAAGAAAGAGCCCTGTGAGTCACTTTTTGATTCTCTGGGCTGAGAGCTGATTGGCTGAGTGAGGGTGGTCCTCTCTTATTTTTGCTTTTCTGTCTGAAAAACGATTCTAACGATGTGACAGAGACCAGAAATACACGCATGTCAAAACTAGTGATAGAACCAAACTGTTTTGAAAACTAGGAACAGCATAACTCCGATAGTAACATTATTTAATTAAGGTGTTTTACTGGATGATTTATCACTGATCGATATTAGTGGTCACAATTTGCAAATCACAAAGACTGCAATTACTTTACCTTTGCATGAATCTTTAAAACTGCATAAAATGAGTACAATTTGCAGTTTTGCTACATTTTCATAAATGATAACTTGTGTACTTAACTTTTACATCACAAAAAATTGAGCTGCGTAACAAAATCCATGATTACTTCTATGATTAGTTTTGACATGTATGTATTATTTATATAATCTTTTTCAAACAGAAAAGTGGAAAAGAGAGGGCCACCTCCTCAGGTGGATTACCTTTATTTTTAAAATTTTCATCTAAGAACCTTTGCTGCAGGTTTTGTGTTCCACCCGGACTCCGAAGGTGCTGCACTGGTTTCGGCACACGCCATTGTGGACACTCTGGAAACTAGTTGCTGCCACTGACGCCTTTAAGCCCTGTTTCTAAGCCGTTTTATTCTTCCTTCCAGTGAAAGTTCCGCATTGTAAAGCTCCGTATCACCATGTCCACAGAGTCCTGGGCGCATGCCGTGGATCAGCAGGAATCAGAAGCCGCTGAATCGGTAACTTTACACGCGAGCTAACATGCTATCACCGCTAGCGCCTGTGAAAACTATGCTCTGTTTTCAATCATTGCATCGGTTTAGAGCAACGAACAGCTTGCATATGCTACTGAAAACTGCATACACGTATCATTTACCCTTTATGACCTGTACTTCCTTGTTTGTGCAGGTTTTAGAACGTGTTTGTTTATGGTTCATGGAGAAATCGAAAGCAAGTCCTGGTTCGTGATGCGGGACTAGCTTTAGCTCGTAGCCCAGACTGCTTCAGTGACTCTCAAATCTAATCCCATTTAGCACCGAGTGTCGTCTTAATTAAAAACTGACAACTGTCAAAATTAGCTCTCAAAATAGCTGGTCAGGCGCTCGTAATAAACAATAGCATGACTGTGTGGTGGCTGGTGGCTGGTGTTTTGGTTGGACAGACCGAGCTTTACTGTCGTTGCAACATGTACAGCTGAATTATGAACTGCAGAGTCTGTGCATATTACAAATAAACATATATGTATTAACGCATTGATAATGGCACAATTTAAATATATATTGATATGTATTTATGAACCAAAGTGTAAGAGTAGCAATTTCTCATACTCATCTAATACTAGAGCTTTAATTACAATATTTTTTAGCCTCAATTAATCAGTTATTTTTTATAAACTTGCGCATCCTTCGCACTGAAGTCATTTAGACTAATTTCACACAGAAATGCTTTTGCATTTTGCTTCTGTGTAGAATATTTTAGGCCTACATTAAAATATAAATCCTGATTTTTCTGAAAATATGTATCATAAATGTAGGGAACAATGTGAAATCAGTCAATAGATGGTTTGATTAATCAAAGGTAATAATCAATAGTATCCTTGAGTCAATATCAAAATTTCTTTACATTGTAACATTAGCTGTGTTGAAATTCACAGGCTGCATCATCCCAGAGCTGCTTTTGTGGTTGCTTTTGCATAACATCACGGCCCTTCTGGTGGTGGAATCTGATCAATATTTGAATTGATCATGTCGTCAAATCACTCAAGTGAATTGACTGATGTTTGTCTTGCGTCCAATCTAGAGCCGTAACGGTTAAACTAATAAGTTTATTCAATTATTACTACTCCATGTGTTTTTCTTTTTCATCTGTTTTTGACAAAAAATCTATTAGAATATTCTCCGGAAGCCTCATTTCAGCTTCTACTAAAGAGCCAATATCGGAGAGACGCTTGTGAAAGTAAAACGTTGTCAACAATTCATGCTGTCTTCATCTAATACAGAGGTGTCCAAACCGGTCCAGAAAGGGCAGCTGTGGCTGCAGGCTTTCTATCAGACCCAGCAGGAGTAGAGCAGACTCCACCCATTTCCTCAAGTAAGCTCAGTCTTAACCTGAAGATTTGGGAGGACTCTGCTCTGCTCCTGCTGGGCCTGATAGAAAACCTGCAGCCAGAGCGGCCCTTTCTGGACCGGTTTGAACACCTTTGATCTAATACAAAAACACATTATGGTTTGCATACCTAAAAGCCCTGTGAGTCACACTATTTTATATAATGCATGTACCAATGGCTTCAGGACATTTTGTCAAAACAGTAGATATTCTTTTCATTTTGTAGGCCTTCTTTTCTTGTTCTTGGCATTGGGTAAATTTGCAGGTCAAATTTCAGGATCATGCAATTATTCCATGAATTGTCATAATGACTGAGGGTTTTCAATATCTGGTCGTCAGTGAAAATAAGACACAGTATCTGGAGAGTAGAACAAAAACAAAAATGTTCTTTAAGGTGACATTTGTTTTAATGGCCTCAAGTTGGTCACCACACTGATATAATAAATATGCTTCCATGTTTCCAGATTAAAGGTCTCCAAATCAAAGAAAAGCCAGAGGAAAATGGTACGTCGGTTGTATTATAGTATCATTATCTTTATCCGTAGACACTCACCTTATGTTTGTAATGTGTCATTTAGGAGCAGCTTCCAAACCAGAAGGAGAAGCAAATACGAATAACAAGACAGAAGAGGACGACAAAGGTGACCAAGACTTTTCACATGTTATGGTTGTTGTAGTTTGGACCACGTTATAGTTTCAGGATTTTCAAAACGCTGCAGCTTGACCTCTAACTAGAACATGGAAGTGCGATTGCTTTAGTTCAGTTCTCCAGTCTCTGCACTGGCTTCCTGTGACTTAAAATATAAACTAGCTAATCATGGGATGGCAGGATTTCAGATGTATGCAGCAAAAATCTGGAACAGTATTACTGAAAATGTCACAAAAAGGCATAGAAGAATATTATGTAAGAAAAATGTAGGGAGACTTTTGTGGAAAGCAAAGTCACTGTATATAAAGTTCCTGGATTTAGGAGCTTGTGCAGCAGTTTTTCTAATTAATAACCATAGTTTTTGATTAATTCTAAAATTTGAACCCAACATGTGATTAGAGGATAAGCATTACATTTGACTTGACTTGCATTTTGTTCTTTTCCTCGTGCTCCGGCAGACGACAAAGCGGCGCAGTCATACCTGAACAAGTTGATCCGCAGCAGTTTGGTCAACAACACGAATCAAGTGGAAGTTCTTCAAAAAGATCCAAACTCTCCGCTGTATTCTGTCAAGTCCTTTGAGGAGCTCCGACTGTAAGTGAAGAATCATTCATCACAGGAGTAATCTGTATTTAACCCTTGTGCTGTCCTCGGGCTGGTTAAATTAGGGAAAGTCATCAAAATTCAGCTTGAATTTTTTTTATCACTTGACCCAAGGATAGCACAAGGGTTAAATTAAAGGATATGCATGAAATCAAAACAGACCCAGAGTTGTTTTTAGATCCATCCATGCCTTCTGTTTAAAAGCTTTCTCAGTCCTGTAATATTTTGTAATTGTACCACTATGACATCACATTCAGAGCCGTTAGCTACCTTTATTCCTTCACCTTCTTTCTTCACCTGAGAAATTGCCCAAACTATTTTGGATGCAACACTTAACTTTCAAACTGTTGTTCAGCTTCAATTGTAATTTTTTTTTGTTTAAACAATGGATATGTTTGACCATATGACCTTGATAGAGTAGTTTCCATAATATTTAAAGCAGTCCCCTGGCAATATATGGGACTGTGGTTGGAGCTAAAACGGCTCACAATTTGATAAAGAAAATCTAGTAAAACAATCAGGTCGTCTTTATACTTTGTATTTAATTGTATCATTTCTCATTTGCAGAAAACCACAGCTGTTGAAGGGAGTGTACGGGATGGGCTTCAACAGACCTTCTAAAATCCAGGAGACCGCGTTACCCATGATGCTCGCTGAACCGTGAGTTACCTGCACTTTGAACCTGTTTCATCTTTTGATCCACCTTTTCAGATCGAAATAGGAAAAGGAGAGGACTATTACCTCTCTGCCCAAAGAGTCAAATAAAGACTCAGAGCTATTTCTTAGTATGCAAAAGTTATTTTCACAAAGCCGTTTTCTCATATTTTCTTTTATACATTTATAAGTGTGAGGTAGTGTAGCATGAGTGGAGTAATAGGACTCTTAGTCACAATAAGACTGTTGCAGCAAAAAAGAGAATAAAAAGGTTCGTGGATCCGCTTTGATTGTTTGTAAAAGCCATGGGATACATACAGTGAGGCAAACAAGTAATTATTCCGCAACTAATTGTGCAGGTTCACCCGCTTAAAAAAATGAGGGAGGTCTATAATTTTCATCATAAATATACCTCAACTATGACCGAGAGAATGAGAGAAAAAAATCCTGAAAATCCTCTGTCCTGGAGTGGCCTAGCTAGTCTCTAGATCTCAGCCCCATAGAAAGTTGTTGCACAGTAACAGCCCCAAATTATCACTGCTCTAGAGGAGATCTGCATGGAGGAATGGGCCAAAACACCAGAAAACGGTTGAGCTCTGACAACAAAGAGTATATAACAAAGTATTGAGATTAACTTTTGTTATCGACCAACTCCTTATTTTCCACCATAATTTGCAAATAAATCCTTTAAAAATAAGATAATGTGATTTTCTGGATTTTTGTCATTCTCTCATACATGAGGTTTAGCTATGGAGAACGCGCACAATTGTCGGCTGACTAAATACTTTTTTGCCCCACTGTATGCCTCTTTGTTCTCTGAGCTGATTGGCTGCTGCAGGTGTTTGTGTGCGTTGAAAAGTGTTCTTGTAACTCTGATAAAGCTGGCGTGTGTGTAACCTTGTTCTGGTCCAGTCCACAGAACCTCATCGCTCAGTCACAGTCGGGAACGGGGAAAACAGCTGCGTTTGTGTTGGCCATGCTCAGCCACGTCGACCCCAACAAGAAATGGCCTCAGGTTTGTCTCCAACTGAACTCTCAAAACAATAGAATGTCTGCTTCTGAATAAATGGTTCTGGTAATACCTATTTTTAACAATGAGTTCTGCCCCTCATTATTGCCGCTCAGGCTAGCTTCCCCTCTCTCTGATCAATTAGCCAATCACAGGAAAGAGCATGTGGAGACACATTCTTTATTAGTGATGTGTTTGATTACCCACAATGGTTGAATTATATTTTCCCTAAACATTGTTACAAAGGTCTTTTAAGAAAGTCTTCAATGGGTAAAAAACATTAGAAGTCCTCTCTGCACCCGACCCCCTTGAATCCCACTGCGGCTGCTGGGCTCATGTTGTCCATTTGTGTTGTACAGCACAGTCCTTGATATTTATCTAATTGTTCATGGCAGGTTTTGAACCAGGCTTTGTCTGATTCGTCACAGACAAAGCGTGTTAGCCATGGGGCAAACACGCAAACGTAGGGCAACAAAACTAATTTAGAGGCAAACGTTTTATTATAAAAAGCAGAAAAGTGCTCTGACATGACGTAATAATGTGTCTTTGTTGTGTTGTTTTTCAGTGCTTGTGTGTGTCGCCCACGTATGAGCTGGCTCTGCAGACGGGGAAGGTCATCGAGCAGATGGGGAAAGACTATCCAGAGGTGCAACTGGTCTACGCCATCAGAGGAAACAAGCGTGAGTCTGAGGAAGAGAGAGGAGAGGGAGAGAGAGAATAAATGTATTATATTAAAGCTGTTGGTTCAAGCTTGGTATAAAACTGAACTTTTAAATGTAAGTGAATGGGAGCCACAGAATTGATGGAAGTCTTGCCTCTGAGCACTTCCCTTCGGCTTCATTAGGTTTCAGCAGCGGATAGGTCTGACTTGCTCCTGGTACAAACTGCAGAGAAGAGTCACGCCTCTCTCTTGTTGGTCTCAGTGCCGCGAGGAATGAAGCTTCAGGAGCAGATCGTGATCGGGACTCCGGGGACGATGCTCGACTGGTGCGCCAAGTTCAAGTTCCTCGACCCAAAGAAGATCTGCGTGTTTGTGCTCGACGAGGCCGACGTGATGATCGCCACACAGGGACACCAGGACCAGAGCATCCGGATTCAGAGGTACAGTCTCACCGCGGCCAATCCCAGAGCAGAGCTGTTCAAACACAGTTTTGAACACAGGAAACAGCCAGTCATTGGTCCATAGGGGGCGGATGACCAATATCCATCAATGTTAATAAACATCCTTAAATGTCCCAGAGTTCAACAACATTTTTCTCCATTGGTCATCTGCCCCTTTATGGACCAATGTCTCTGTGTTTTTTTCATCATTGCATTTCTTGTTTGATTCTCTGATCTGTTTGAGCGAGTTCAATGGTTTTGTTAAGTCTTTTGAGATAACTACTGTTGTGATTTAGATAGATAGATACTTTACTGATTCCCCCTTAGGATAAACTAAGGTGTCCAGTTGCAGCAAAAATAAAATAGATCATTCTAAAAAGCTAACAATAGTAATAATAAGCAACAGGCCTAGGGCTATACAAGAGGAAATAGAACTGAAGATGACAAGGACGGCAGCATCATTACTTAGCGTTCCTGTGGTAGTTTCAGATGTGTTTTAAAACAACAGCGCCACTAGTTGCGCTTGAGTAGGAAAGTCTGAAGTCCTTTAGAGCAACTAGGGATTTCTCTCCTTACTGTTCCTTTCTCCTTGAAGCTCCTCAATAAAATGACCTCAACAGAAGGCTTTGGACGGAGCCTTTAGCCTTTAGCTCTGTCTCCTTTCACAGTTCTGCAAGTGTCGCCCCGTGTCTGATCTCGCTGTAATTGAAGGTCAAACCAACCCGATCCTGTATCTCACGCCCTCTACATTATCAACGGAATAATCTTGTGATTTTACTGTCTGGAAATCACGTCAACCACACCCTCAGTTTGACCCGAAGGTAGCACAAGGGAAAAAGATGATTTACTTACTCATTTGAGCAGCATTAAATACTCCTGGGACGAAGACGAACACTCCCTGCCTTCTAACATAAACGTAATTTAGCCGACTACATTTCTTTTTCTTTTTCAAATAAAATATCATGCAAAAAACTAGCTCAACTAAAACTACATCAAAACAAAATACAAATCTGACTAAAATTATACTTCGATTAGAATTGAAAATCAACACAGTTTCAATTTATTGTTTACATTTTGAATCAATAATCATTGGGTAAAACATTAAGATCATGTCCTTTTACTGCGTCTGAGTGACCGTCCTGACCAATCGCAGCGCTGCATATCGTCTCTGACCCTCCCCTCTCTGCCGCCCGCAGGATGTTGCCGAAGGATTGCCAGATGCTGCTGTTCTCGGCCACGTTTGAGGAGACCGTGTGGAACTTTGCACAGAGAATCGTCCCGGAGCCGAACATCATCAAACTGAAGCGCGAGGAGGAGACGCTGGACACCATCAAACAGTACTACGTCCTGTGCAACTCCAAAGAAGAGAAGTTTGAGGCTCTGTGCAACATCTACGGGGCCATCACCATCGCACAGGCCATGATCTTCTGCCACGTCAGTCTCTCTTTCATTCCTCCCGGGTTTTTAGTATGACGTGTAAATGAAAATCAATATGGACATGTACCATTTTAAAGCCCAGAACAACCCAACTTCAGTCAAAACAGTTATAAAGTCTGTGTTCTTGTCGGCCCCTGGACAAGAACTGAAATCACAAATGTTCTTGGAATATTATTTCTTTACTGGAGGGCGTTGAGGGAGTTTACACGGACATGGGGCCTCAGGGCTGCAGACTTGGGCTTATTACTTTAGATTACAAAATGATCACTCTCCATTTGTCTAATACAGCTGTTCCCAACGTGAACACTGCGTTTGAAATTGGAATTGAGCCCAGGCATCTTCTCTCAGTCTGAGATGAATTCTTTGTGGGCTTCATTCACCGGTTGCCTCCATTATTAACAGTGATGAACTATATTCTTGCGTTCTTCTGTCAGACAAGGAAGACGGCGGGCTGGCTGGCCGGGGAGCTATCCAGAGAGGGACACCAGGTGGCGCTGCTGAGTGGAGAGATGCAGGTGGAGCAGAGAGCAGCAGTGATCGACAGATTCAGAGACGGGAAAGAGAAAGTGCTCGTCACGACCAACGTGTGCGCCAGAGGTACGGGACGCTAAGACCAGTGGTTTTATGTGGTATTCTCCCCAAAACACTCCCAACCAGAGCCGTGTCAACTCCATTTACATCAGGAATATCAGCTTCTGGTAGATGTACTCAAACGTCCACACGGCTCTTCTGTCTAACTCGTTAACAGTGGTTTTCTTAATGGAACGTTTATTCAATGCTCATGATCTGTGGATGCTTTTTATAACTTTGTTTACATTATGAATGTATTTTGACAAAAGGGTTACATTTATTCAACATTAGTTTGGATATTATGTTTTGGTAGATTCTTAGGAACAAAATGTAGTTACTGTTCTTTTTTTTTTAACTCCGGCATATGTAGCCCTCTGCTAGTGTTAGTAGTAAGTGTAGGTTTGAGCTCTGCCAATGTAGACAGTTTATACCTCGTTGACGCTAAAATATACATTACGTAAGTAATAGTAGTCATTCAGCCAACTTCAGCTCTGTCAAATGTGAACCAATACAGACATGTCATACCTCATTTTAAAGCTCAGAGCAACTAGTCAAACGCTATAGCCACTATTTTTGTGAACTAAAGTGGCCCTCACACTGAAAAGTTTGCACAACCCAGACTTGACTTATCTGAACCGAAGGTAAAAAAGACGAGCAACTGGTTATTTTTGTGGTTAAATAAGCTTCAGAATTAGGTATAACGGACCATGTTACCTCTTACCATCTAATGTTACCAGTCATAGAAAATCATTTCAGTTTGACTCTTGTTTTAAATGCTGAGTAATTTCTGTCAGACCTGAGTTGTACTTTGACACACAAACTCACAAATACACACAACATGGGTCTGACACAAGGAATCCTAATGTAAAGATCTACTGAAGCTGATCTTGTGTCTAATGCCGTTGAGTCAGTTCACTAGAGAACACCTGTGTGTGACCTCTCCAGGTATCGACGTGGAGCAGGTGTCCGTGGTGATCAACTTTGACCTCCCGGTGGATAAGGACGGTAACCCTGACAACGAGACGTATCTTCACCGAATCGGGCGCACAGGGCGATTCGGCAAACGTGGTCTGGCCATCAACATGGTGGACAGCAAGATGAGCATGAACATCCTCAACCGCATCCAGGAGCACTTCAGTGAGTCACCGCTGTTTAAGGCACACTCTGCTCTGGGCTCCGAACACATTGTTTGAGGTCAGCTGTGTTATTATTGACTGTAGCAGCAGCAGCAGGACCTGATCCTGTCCTTCACACAGTGTCCTGTAGGGGGCGACATGATCCAGCATTTTAGTTTGTCCTGGACCCTGCTGTTCTCCATCTGCTGCAAGACAGAGCTGGACTTCCTGATAACCTTGCCCAAGAATTAAATTCAAATTATTTACAACAGCAGTCGTCTCTGAGGTCTTCACAAAGTTGTCGATTCACGAACAATAGATCAGATTGTCAAACAGTTCGGACACAGGAAATGCAAACATGTTTAGAAATTTTATTAAATGTCCTTAAATGTTATGGATCATGACTGTCCTTAAACTCTCCTGCATCAGCAAAGAACAGCAAACCCAGTGGGGAAGAAGTGAGAAACCTCTTGGAGACCCACATTTAGAGAATGATTATAACAGACTGTAGACCCAGGACACGGGCCGTAGACCCAGGACACGGGCCGTAGACCCAGGACACGGGCCGTAGACTCAGGACACGGGCCGTAGACTCAGGACACGGGCCGTAGACTCAGGACACGGGCCGTAGACTCAGGACACGGGCCGTAGACTCAGGACACGGGCCGTAGACTCAGGACACGGGCCGTAGACTCAGGACACGGGCCGTAGACTCAGGACACGGGCCGTAGACTCAGGACACGGGCCGTAGACTCAGGACACGGGCCGTAGACTCAGGACACGGGCCGTAGACTCAGGACACGGGCCGTAGACTCAGGACACGGGCCGTAGACCCAGGACACGGGCCGTAGACTCAGGACACGGGCCGTAGACTCAGGACATGGGCCGTAGACTCAGGACATGGGCCGTAGACTCAGGACATGGGCCGTAGACTCAGGACACGGGCCGTAGACTCAGGACATGGGCCGTAGACCCAGGACACGGGCCGTAGACTCAGGACACGGGCCGTAGACTCAGGACACGGGCCGTAGACTCAGGACACGGGCCGTAGACTCAGGACATGGGCCGTAGACCCAGGACACGGGCCGTAGACTCAGGACACGGGCCGTAGACTCAGGACACGGGCCGTAGACTCAGGACACGGGCCGTAGACTCAGGACATGGGCCGTAGACTCAGGACATGGGCCGTAGACCCAGGACACGGGCCGTAGACTCAGGACATGAGCCGTAGACCCAGGACACGGGCCGTAGACTCAGGACACGGGCCGTAGACTCAGGACATGGGCCGTAGACCCAGGACACGGGCCGTAGACTCAGGACATGGGCCGTAGACTCAGGACACGGGCCGTAGACTCAGGACACGGGCCGTAGACTCAGGACACGGGCCGTAGACTCAGGACATGGGCCGTAGACCCAGGACACGGGCCGTAGACTCAAGACATGGGCCGTAGACTCAGGACATGGGCCGTAGACTCAGGACATGGGCCGTAGACCCAGGACACGGGCCGTAGACTCAGGACATGGGCCGTAGACCCAGGACACGGGCCGTAGACTCAGGACATGGGCCGTAGACCCAGGACACGGGCCGTAGACTCAGGACACGGGCCGTAGACTCAGGACATGGGCCGTAGACCCAGGACACGGGCCGTAGACCCAGGACACGGGCCGTAGACTCAGGACACGGGCCGTAGACTCAGGACATGGGCCGTAGACCCAGGACACGGGCCGTAGACCCAGGACTCAGGCTGTAAGAGGCTGTGGAGTGTGGTGTATTGATCTGAAAACAGAAAAGCTCACTAACTTTGTCTCTTCACAGATAAGAAGATCGAGAGGCTGAACACAGACGACTTGGACGAGATCGAGAAGATCGCCGGGTGAAGAGCCGCTCCTCGCGCCTCACGGCTCTCCACGGACTGTTTTTAAAACTGTTACTTTTTAGATTTTGGAGAGGGAGTAAAAACACCACGTTTACACTCAATAGGAAACATACCCCATTTCACTCTCTGTGCGACATGAATACAATTTTAGGTTTATTTTATTTACCTTTTGTGGCGCTGCTTTTCCTACAACTGGGAATCAGGAGCTAAATGCCAACAGAGATCTCGATTATTTATCATAATGTGCCACAAAGTTTTAAAAGGAGCAAAAATGAATGTATTGTGGGTGAATCATGCGCTGAAGCACACGTCTGCGGTGGAGTATGCTTCTCTGGGCCTGGACACACAGACATTTTAACAACCCATTATTTTACGATTGTTTTCTTTTCATGACTATTTTTTCAAAGTAAAACAATTATTCCGATATACGTTTTCTTTTTTCTATGACCAGAAACTAAAGCGTTTATTTTTTCTACAGACGAGCAGATAATGAACTGCAGCAATAAAAGGATTTGAATAGATTTGCTTTAAACGCCTCTTACTGTTGTACATACTTTCATTTCTTTGTTTTAACAGTTCACCTCATGTTAACTGGTTCTTAGTGTGTAGCGCTTTTATAAATATACATGTTTTTAGTCTGAGAAAGCCAGAGAATGTGGAAATTACATTTAAATCCACAGATAGACACGCGTTTTAAAGCTTTCTTGGCTTTGGCTATTTTTTTTCACACCTATCTTCCACTGATCTTGTTAAAATGGTCTCCAAAGACAAAAGCTGGTCTAAAATTGAATCATTTGAACTCAAGATGCAGTTAAAGCTGGGGTACCTAACGTTAAAAACACAAATAAAACTTTAATAAAAGGCATTTAGAGACTGTTTGCTTCTATTTCTCGATTTCACACACCTGTGTTTTTCCCATCACTTCTTTAGATCAGCTTAATCAAAAGCAAAATAGAGTCAAATATTAAAGATAACATGTTTTTTAATAATAAAGACTGCATATTGTGGTCTGATATTTACATTTTTACTTTAACAAGACTGGACAAATATGTAGGCCTATTTTTAAAAGGTTAGGTAGCCCAGCTTTAAAGTCATTTTGCCGTGATGCACTCGTCTTTTTATATTTAATCCTTTTAAAACTAGATTGAGGACATAATTGGGTAATAAAACTTGACCAATATACCCAATGATTTAAGCGTGCCTGTATGTCTTGTTTTTTGGAGTTAAGTTATTTCACGTTTATGAAAGCCAACATGCGCCTCTTAACTTTGTCTCTACTGAACAAAAAGGATTTATATTTTAGTAAATGTGCAGTTAAACCAGTGGGAAATGTTTGTGTGGCCGGGCCCTTTGACATTCGATGGCGATGGTTTTGGGTTGAAAAGGGTCTATGCAAAATGAATCAAACTCAAAACTGTTCTTAAAATCTTGAAGCGATTGTGTGATTTGTCCATCTATTTAATTCACCTCTTCACTGGCAACTCATCAGAAGTCATTTTTTTCATAAGTGTGGTTTCAAAAATTACACATACGGCAGGAGAAGAAGGGACTCGGTGAAATGTGGTTCAAAAGTACCAAATGGCGGTCGAGGTAGAAAGTACTTTGGACCCTTAAAGATGCTGTACCGAGCTTTTTTGTCATAGTATATTTTGTATTCTAGTAAAGAGCCCCGTTAGTCACGATCAGACTCAGATGGGCGCTGATTGGCTGAGTGAGGGTCCTCTTTTTCAGTTTTTTGTGTGAAAAAGATCTATAGATGAGGCCAGAAACACACACATGTATGAAGAACCAAAACTTTGAGAGCAAGGATTTTGTTATAGCTGGAAAATCAGGTACCCCAGCTTTAATTCCAGTTGAAAAGGTTGTGAGGACGTGGAATACTTGCCCTTAAATAAGTTCTAGTTTTCAACCTTGCATTCGATGTTTCATTGTCAAAAACAGACCTGAAGTTTTTAGCTCCATCTGCTCCAATGCCTGCTTAAACCTGTCCCCCCACCCCTTCTGTGAAATTCTGTTTTCAAACTTAGGACAAAATCACAGGGAGCAGCTAAGCCAGAAATAGATTCCATAATAAAAATACACGCTCATTCAGGAGACACTGAGACATAAAATCCTCAAAAATGAATGAGTTGTTGCTGCTCTACATGAATTATTTTGACATTTCTTGTCCCTTCTCATCCTGAGCGGCTGGTTGTAGTTTTGAAACCGACTTCTCATCTCTTTGAATCAGGGTTCATCTCAGCGCCTGTTTTCTCTGCGCTGCTCACGATTGTGGTCTAAAAATGCCTTCCTCAAGTGCATTATTTACTCATATTTTTAAAGCTATTTGGGCTTTGTGGAAAACTTGAACATTTGATTCTTCTAATACTGAATTCTGATGTGTGATACCAAATGTTGATTCTGGACCTGTGTGCTCAGATGCTGAACAGAAAATCATATTGTGTTTTAAATATAGCTTAAAAACGTGTGGCTGAAATTAGACGCTTCTAAGAAGTGGAACATTCCTTAAAAAAAGGTATGATTTATAACAAACAGCAAAGAGCAAGAGAAGACAGTTTCCTCAATTATTTGGTTTTCAATCTACAAATTGGCAGCGAGGCAGTTATTGTGTCTCTATATACAATCTATCATTGGAACATTGTGTTAAAATCAGACCTTAAATAATTGTATCCGTAGAACGATGCTATGGACAAAAACGTGGAGCTTTTAGAAAGGAGAAAAAAAATGTGATTAAATGAAAATTGGCAAATAAGATATTTTCAAATGAATTATAATTGAGCCAAAGTATTTGAGAAAGCTGCATCTCTTCGTCAAAGTGACGTGCTGTAAATGTGTTTATTCTGACCAATGCTCTGGTCGTTCTTCAGACCTCAAAGATGGCTTCAGTCGGTCCAGAGATAGAACCGAGTAAGTCTGGACTTTATGGACTCAAATCTCATAGTGAGAGAAAAAAAGAAGCAAAAAGCCTAATTTGACTGTGGCGTGCTGCTGGAATCTTGGATCTGTGATTGCGCAGGGACTTTATTTGGGACTTTTAAGAAATGCAGTTTATTGTGTGGACACTTGTATGTAGACATGAGCCGTGAGAGTGTGCAAAATCTGTCTTTTATCCCAAAACATGACGTACTAATGCAGGAGTCACCAGTTGTGGCAATGAATAAATATCAACAATGTACAAATGTGTGAAATGTTAAACTACATGCATGAATGGGTCCCATTTGGCTGTCAGGCTCCTGTTGTCGATAAACGCAAAAGACATATTTCTCACTCTACCAAATAATAACCATTTTCTATGTACAGTGTTTATCACCAGACTTTTTCATGAGTTCCCAGTTTCCAGAACATAACACACATAAGCACAATAATAATTCCAAAACCTGTCTCAACCAAATTACCCTATTATTGGTTGAGACAGCTGTAATTAGACAATGTGAGATAATAAGTGACATTAAAAGCCTCTGTTATTACAGAGTTACTGTAATTCTGTGGGGAAATCAGTGTTCTGTGTTTAACAAAAGCTGCGCCCCAGTGGGAGTCCGTCACAATGTTGAAGACTGAACATAATTACCCAATCTGCAGCGTTCTTAATGTTGGCTATGTGCTTTTGTTAAATCAAAATAAATGGCATCAACAATATACAGCTATGCTTGAAAAAAACACTTTTTTAATTAATTGTTAGTGGTTGTGCAAAGCCATTTATTGTCAAATAAATGTGTTTTCTGCTTTCAAATGATAATGACAACAGAAACTTCAGACCCTGATCAGTAGTTCCCACCCCCCAGCGATCAGTGGCCTTTATTTCCTTCTCTGATAACAATAGCAGCTTAGAATCTTTTGTGGTAGTTGGGATTAGGCAATTTCTCCTCTCTGGTCTCTCTCTGGTCTCTCTCTGGTCTCTCTCTGGTCTCTCTCTGGTCTCTCTCTGGTCTCTCTCTGGTCTCTCTCTGGTCTCTCTCTGGTCTCTCTCTGGTCGCTCTCTGGTCGCTCTCTGGTCTCTCTCTGGTCTCTCTCTGGTCTCTCTCTGGTCTCTCTCTGGTCTGTATCTCTCTCTGGTCTCTCTCTGGTCTCTCTTTGGTCTCTCTTTGGTCTTTCTCTCTCTCTGGTCCGACAGTCTCTGATAGTGAAGCTGCCCATTCTTCTTGGCTAATAGCCTCCAGTTCCTGTAAATTCCTGGGCTGCCTTGCAGGAACTGCACACAAGATCTCCCCAGAGCGGCTCAATAATGTTAAAATTAAAATAGAAAACATGTTTATGCCTAAAAATATGGCTTCACACTATCCTGTGTTAATCACGGATAAATTTGACCAAAACATTAAAATCACTTGGTGGTTGTGGAAGAATAACTCGTCGACTCTCGGACGCAGAAAGGTAGCGGTTTTCTGTCCTCTTCCACAACGACAGTTCTGTTACGCTTTGTGAGCTGGTTGCTCCTGGAGACGGAGCACAAATGGGACAGAAGCAGATGGTTTTCAGAATTGGCACAAACCTCCAACAGATTGTTGAGTGGTGGAGGTGCAGCGCATGCAGCTCGAACAGCCTGAACAGCCGTGTGTGAAATGTCTCTCAGAATGCAGCGATCCACTTCCTTTGTCGCTTTATCCGTAAATAATTCCTTGAACATGTGAACTTAACTGTCACAAATTCTGATCTGGGTTTGTGGACAGTGCATCTTCGGATATCGTTGTTGGAAGCTGTAGATCTAAAGGAGAGAAAATATCAGTGTATGTAGTGTTTTCAGAGGTCAATGAAAGTATGTATAAAACCTTTATTGATTCAGCCTCATTATGGAGAAAACAGTTCTGTTGTCACATTATGAGGCGATTGGAAATATGTTAAAACCTTTTAGTGGAAGGCTCTGAAACTTTGTATCAAAATTGTCACTGTTTTGTGCCATAAACTTGACAAAATGTAATCTTAAACTTTGAATTTGAATATTATTAATCATTTTATTCAAGCCATTTTCAACATATACTGAACTTGACTCAAGAATACTTTGTCAATGGGCAAGTAAAAAGGACTTTCATCACCAGCCTTCAAGTGCATTTGTATTCTCTTTGGGCTGACTCGTCCGTCCCTATATGGTTTAAAGCCTGGACTCACCCGCGTCTCTGTACTCCACGTGGGTGAGGAAGAGGCCCTGAGGCGGAGCAGCCAGGCCCTGGGGGAAGGCTCTGGAGTCCCGGGCCTCCTTCACTCTCTCCAGGTCCAGAGGAGACAGACGGCCCGTCCCCACGGCCACCAGAGCTCCAACCATCCTCCTCACCTCCAACACAAGACCCAGGACTTTATTATTAATATCAACTTATACTTTGCAAACAAACAATATACTCTAAACACCGTAGACGACATATTTATGCCGGAGTGCCGCAGGCTGAAAAAGGGCCACCAACGAAAAACGGAAACACAACCAAGTAGAGTAGAAACGGGCCAAGTAAGGCTGGAGGCTTTGGTCTTTACACAAAGTAAAAGAAACTCAAACATTTAGCGACTCGAGCACATTTATGTATATAGGGGATATTTTTTTACCTTTTTGAACAAGTTATGCACGCTTTTATTTCTTCGCGTCTGGACTACTCCACTCTGGTATTTCACACAAGGAACTTCACCGGCTACAGTTAGTCCAGAACTTTGCGGCACGGCTTTTAACAGGAACCAAAAAGCCCGACCACATCACTCCGGATCCTGTCCTTGCACTGGCTTCTTAATTTTATTGTTCGTTTTTAAAGCTTTGAATGGACTGGCCCCTCCTTACATATCAGACCTCATCCAAATTCACCAGCTCGTGGTGCCTTTAGACCAGACTTAAAACCCGGGGGGACGGGGCCTTCTCTGTGGCTGGACCAAAACTGTGAAAGCTCTGCCTCCCCACGCCAAAACTGCTCCCTCGTTGGAATGTTTTAAGTCTCATCTTAAGACCCACTTTTATTCTCTGGCTTGTGAGTGAGTTGTGTGGTCCTCTGTATTTTTTTGTTTTGTTTGATTTTTATATATGTGTGTATTTATTTATTTGTTGCCATTTTTTGCTTGTTGTACAGCATTTTGGAAACCGCTCGTTTATGAAATGTGCTTTACACCATGATGTAGGGATGTTACGGCATATTAGTTCAAATATTGCAGCTCATCGCACATATGTTGATCCATTACCAAAGATAGGGTAATTCGGTTATTGCCATGGAGACAAATAAAACAGTGTCCAAAAAATCAATTAGGGGAAGAAAAAAAATCCAGTCATCAAATTTGACACATATTGACCCACGACAAACAAGTGAGAAAATACCTCACCCAGAGACAAACGGGAAGGCCACCATCTTGAAAAATCAAAAATTACGATTGGCTTTATATCATCTTAAGAATACTTTGATCAAATGATAGTCAAAGTGCTCTCATTTACACACACAAACATCTTGAATCAGTAATTGAGCTCCTGGATTGAGGAATTTGACTTCTGGAAAACCTAAGCCCCGCCCCCTTTGCAGCTCCATATTCACCTGTTTGTAAAGGAAGGATTTGCTTTTGAACTTCAGCTCGCAGAAAGGAATATGTCTGAAAACGAGAGAAGATCGCAGAAATTAAATGTAGAAAACTGTCTCTTTCAGCCATGGTATAACATTATAAATTGAGCCAAAATGCCTGGCTGTATTAGTGCCTTTCGCCCTCTCACCGGTGGAAGTGGCTGCTGCTGAAGGAGGCTCCGGGCTGAATGGAGATCAGGTCCATGGTTTTCACTGGGTTTTTGAACGGTAAGTCTGAGTTTATGGCTCTGAAGCTGCTGAAGTCGTGAGTCCCAACCAACATGGCCGCCGCTGAGCGCATCGAGTCCATGTCCAGCTCCCTGTCGAGCAAATACACAAGTTAAACACATTTCGTCTTTTAAAGCTGATGTCCCTAACTTTCAGACAGAAAATACATCGATGTCATCAAATCCATAGTCCCAACAGGTTCTACCACCAGTTTTCACACGCATGTATTTTTGGCCTTTGTCACATCTTTAGGCCAGCTTTTTAAGACAAAAGTAACAAAGAAGAGGACCACCCTCACTCGGCCAATCAGCTCTAAGCTTAAAATGTCAAATAGTGACTCACAGGGCTCTTTCTAACGCAAAAGATGTTTTCTATTAAGATGAAGAGAGCATGATGATTTCTTTACAACATTGTACTCTTAAATGACTTTTTATTGGGACAAACAACATAGATTTTATTTAGGAATCAAAAAAGTTGGGAGCTTTAAAGACACTATTTACGATTTTGGGTAAAAACAACATACTTTTCCGAACACATGCTTGAAGCTACCAAAACACACTACCAAGACTTGGGCTTTTCTTTTTTGAACAGTCCTAGAAACTGCACTTGAGGAGAAAAACAACTCCCTCAAAGTCATTTGGGAGTGAGAACCGCCCGCATCCTGATGTTGTGTTGTTGATTTGTTGTCATGGAAACAATACACCTGTGCAGAACTGTTGTTGGATATCTGAAAAATTCTAAAATCCATTGGAAAGTCAGGCTCCGACTTCACTTAAGTAATCACTGGTGCACACAAGTCAACAAATGTAGTTTTATTATCATTTAAAAAAGTAAACAGTGAAGTGAGTGATATTACAAAAAATTGACTAATAACTGTAGAATTTGCAATATATAAAGCACTGGAAAGTAAAAAAAAATAAATGCAATCTTATCGCTCTCAAAACAGTTCATGGAGATACAAGCTTTAATTTAATTCAATTTACTTTTTTACGGCCCTAAATCACAACAGCCGTCATCTCGAAAGGACTGTACAAAGTTGTTGATTCGCCAACAACAGATCAATAATCAAACTGATTCAGATTCATTTATTTGCCATTTGCAGTAAAACCACATTGGAAAAACTGTGCAAGACTACCCCGGTGTGCACCAACACACACCAGAGCTCTTGCCACGGCGCCATCTTTACGGCGCCATGTTCGAATAAAGGAAATGCAATAATAGATGACCCAAGCTCATGTGGGGGTGAGGGGTTTTACTTAAAAAAACTGAACAGACAGAAAGACTCACGATGTCGGTAACTATGGCGTCCCGAGTCAGATGTTTGGCACAGCTGGAGAATAACAGACTGTTAGGACGGAGGCTTGTTGCTGAGTTCACAGCTGTGATCGCAGCCGCTGTTTCTGCACACGCTCAGACCAAAGGGAAACATTGCCAGTGCACGTACACACAAATGCTATCGAGGAAGTTCAGTTTCACTTAAAAAATATGCCAGCATTGCCCAGCCCCATTTATGAGTTGTTTTATGTGTGTAATAAATGCATTTAGATCAGTTCAGATTTCAAAGCTCTGGTATGTTCTCTTTCCAGTCATATAGTATCAACACTTATGTCCCTTGTGGACCAATACCAATGCGTTTTCTGTTTGTTTTTTGGTTTTTTTAACTGTTTGATTCTCTGATCTGTGTTGGCGAATTCAACGGTTGTATAAAGTTCTCTGAGATAACTACTGTTCTTGATTTAGGGCTATACAAGAATAAATGTAATTGAATTGAATTACACACACAGTGCCCCGAGACCGTGTCTGTCGCAAGTTACAATCAGATTTACACATCAGAATAACACCAAATACACTCCGCAAAAAGATAACCACACACACGTTAAATAGCAGGCAGTTTTCAGCAGAGTCCTGGCAATCAAGACCATTTTTGAGGATTTCTAGAGAGCCACAGAGTACTCCCTGTTCTAGCTGTGAGAGCCGGTTTGAAACGAGTCTTTAATCTGTCATGAGGAAATATCTATGAGATATTTCAAGCTAAAATGGTCTTTTTTTTATCAATGCCCCACTTGATTTCTCTAAAAACCGAAACCACAGCTCTTTTAGGAAACGTATATGTTTGAAGTCAACGCTCTTTGGAAACAAACTTTCTGTGTAATATAGATATTACTTTGTTTATTTTATAGCCCCCAGCCCCATTATTGCACTGGGGGGAGTGTCCTTTTCTGAGCAGGGACTAAACACAGAAGTAAATCCTGCCTTAAATCATTTTTCAGTCACATGCCGTCCATGTGTGTGGCGGGTGGAAGAGAGTTGGGTTAGTGAAGTCATAAGTTCACGTACGACAGTGGACCTGGGGCCATCGGGACAAACGCTGCTCTGAGAAACTTGCTGCTGTTTAGATCCATAGTCTTCAGGAGAAAGGTGCAGATTGCAGCAGAAGCAATGTCAACTAATAAATGTAACTTTTATAACACTCAACAGGGCAAGCCACGACAAGCCATGAAAACACATTAAAATAAATAAAAGGACATACATCACTGAATCCAGCCATCACTCCAAATTCACCCAAATGTGCGTTTTTTTTTTTTACATGTTTGGGAGAATAGAGGGATTCTCAGGCTTATCCTTCTGCCTCTGCTCCTCTAACCACTGCTCTACAGATTTGCCCTCCGAGGCTTGAGGGCAGAAGTAGGCAGTGCCATAATTACGGTGTCCAAACTCTTTTGTTTTCGGCTGCTTGCACTTTGAGCAGGTGTGTATGGCGCTGGCGATTCTTCTTTTCTTACTGCCTTTGTAATTGTCTTCAGGCTTGTAATAAAATGTGGAGCGGGACGTGACTGGAGAGGCTCCGGGTGCCTGGGGCTGCTGTGGCTGTGACGGAGGAACTGCAAAGGGCCCACAGACAGACAGAGCTGGCCGAGGAGACATCCCCACTGGGCTGAGGATAAACAGCCCAGACAGAGGAGCAGCTGCTGGGAGAGGGAGGAGCTGAGGAGGAGCTGGGGCGAGAGGCTGCACTGCTGTGGCACTTGCAGCTTTTCTCCCCGGCCGCAGCTTCGAGGCCCGTCCTGTGGATGGAGTCTCCTCCTGCTGAGAACTAGTCGATGGGAGGCTCTGTCTGGCCAGACCCTCTTGTAGTACACTTGATTCATGTTTTTGCTTCATACGTTGAAACCTGAAATGATAACACAATAGAATGAGTACCGTCACATGTGCTTACTGTAGTAGAAAATAAGGCAATTTCAGAATGTCCACTGAACCTCACTTTATCTACTTAATATCCTGCCATATTAATGGATATTTACTTGGTGCTCGCATTTACAGATAGTTACAGCTAGTTAGTTAGTTTAAGGGCTACTGTTCTGTATGTGCACAGCAACATTGAGATGTCTTCACTGTGGGACAAATAAAGGTTCTCTTATCGTATCTGTACTATTATAGTTCTGTACTCACCACTGAACAATGGTCTTCTCATTGGGCAGAAACAGATGGAGAGAAGTGGCCTCCATCAGGGCGTGGCAGCTCCGCACCAGCTCTCTGATGTGGTTGTAGTCCGTGAGCATTTTCTTCCACAGAGGAAGACTGTTTCTGTCCCTGTCCCGCCGGTGAGAAGACTTGTGCAGGGCCCTCAGTTTGAGGCTCATGGCTTCCATTAAGCGGCTGGGCCCTGCCACACCCGGCTTCACCATGCCTCCTTTTGTGGCCTGGCGGCCTCCCTTGGGCCGCTTCAGCTGGTAGTGGAGTCTCTTGTCTCTGTCAGACAGCGCCCCCCAGAGGCGGATGGTCTGCGTGACCTGCTGCTCATCGAGGTATGCTGCGTCTCGGAGGGACAGCAGGTGCTCTGCCAAATCCTGGACCTTCTCCCAGCCAGCTGCTCCATCAGGTCCAAGAACAGGGGCCTGTACAGGACAGTTTCACAGTTTAGTATTCAACCTTTCATACTACGGTACATATCATTTTAATTTACATAATTTAGCACAAAGGATTTAGATTTGGGGGCTGGTGCTATGAGACTTGGGGGCATCTCTGATTGCCACCCCCCTGACCCAGAAATGGATTAAAGGGTAGAAAATGGATGGATGGATGGATGGATTTAGATTTTGTAGATCTTAGGGCCTTAAGGCTTGGAATGGATGAACGAGCTTCTAAGCGAAGTAGAACCCTAACCCTAACCTACTGCAATGTCCTGGTTGTAGTGGTGAATGCAGCACTGACCTGTGTGGTGGTTGATCCAGGTCTGGAGGGCTGGGGGCTGATGCTCAGACTCATCAGCCTCCTAAGACTCGGACTCATGAGCACACGGGCAGAAACGTCTGTCTCTCCATCTACAAAGCCTTCGTCCTGCTGCTCCTCTGCTGGGGCCTCCTGCTGCTCTTCTGCTGGGGCCTCCTGCTGCTCTTCTGCTGGGGCCCCCTGCTGCTCCTCCTTTGGGACCTCTTCCACAGTTAGAGTTGTGCCAATCTGACTATACAGGTACTCTAGGCCCAGCAGCTCACCTGCAAAACAATAATAAAATTTGTATAAAATATATATATATATAATTGCACTATAAATTTTTAGTGCAACTCCAAATAAATCATTTTTAATTTGCAAGTCAGGGTGTGCAGGATTCCTTCTCTCTATCACATTAGGCCATACAGGCCTCTCCTCCTACGTACCCGATCTGTAGGTATTGATGTGTGAATCCCTACTCCAGTCGTATACGAAAGATATTAACCACTAGGACTTCCAGAATTCTAAAACTACTGGAACCCATTCAAATCAAAAGTATTCTATGTGTGTGTGTAAATAGTTGATGGTGGCCGGAGGGACAGAGGGCACACACTGGTTCTGTCAGTGTGCCCCAGGGCAGCTGTGGCTACAGTAGTAGTTTATCACCACTGTGTATGGAGTAAAAGAATAATGTCGTGAGAAGTGTCTTTGAGTGTCCAAAGAAGCATATATAAAACAGATGCATTATTATTTTTATCATAAGCCGTATGCAATAATGAGTTTACTGTGTACCCACCAGAGGAGTAGGGAGGCCTCCGCACACTGCCGGACCGGGGAGGGCCCTGTGGAGCTTCAGCTGGAATATTAAAAAGATGTAGAAATGTAAATGTATGTGGCATGTATTGTAGCTGGTCGCAAATCTAAAACAATAGTACTTACAGGGCTTTGATGGAGACATTATCCTTTGTGCCACTTTTGCCTGTAAGCAGAGCTTCAAGTAGATCTGGGGATCTGACGCTTTAGTAACACCTTTATTCGGGGCCAGTTGAATTTCACATTTCAGAAAATCTGTTTGTGAGGAGCCTATGATGTTGACTGGAGAATGAAGAGACATAACAATATTTTAAATGTAGTTAAAATAGTAGAAGTTAAACAATATGCAGATTGAGATAAGAAAGCAATGGAATTCTCACTGACCAAGGTATAATACTATTATATCTGCAATGTTACAATTCATCTGCTTGCTACAACTATTTACTCCTTTGTTTACTTTAAAAGTTTGGCATTTTGTCCAGGGTAGACAAAAATATAAACTTGATATAGCCAATATTGAATCTCAATGTATGTTTAAGAGTTGTGGTTGGGTTGGGAATAAGCTATGGGTTTGGCTAGCTTTAGGCTAGTGTTCCTGACAATGGACCTGTTTTAAATGCAGGTTTAAAACAGTTATGTTTATCTGTGCATACTGAAAGATTGTATCTTCACTCTTTTTAATGCACTATGATTATTCATTATTTTTATGTCTATTCTGATGTGGAAGTTTTTTATTGTTTTGTAACGCACTTCGAGTTGCCTTGTGTATGAAATGTAGCTTAGGACAAAATACCAACTTTTTAGAGTTCCGTCATCATATTGTTTTTAGCAACGGTTGCCAAGGAGATATGTTCAGGATAAGGCAAAAAAATAATCTCTTCGCTCAGTTTTCTGAGTGTAGTGGATAAAATATAAACATTTTGTAGTATGTTACGAGTGTGTGACCTTGGTACAAGTCACTTATCTCGGAGCGGTGCAGTAAACCCATAGACTGTAAATATGAATTGATTAATTCAATGATTGAGTAATGTAAGTAACCAGATCAAAAATGTTAAACAATAAAAGTAATTTTACCATGTGATCATATTCAATGAACACATGATTTATTAATAAAGTGCGCTTCGTATAATATTCATATAAGACACTCGAATTATGTATGATTCAGTATGGAGTGAACGAATATGTGCAGCGTCTTTGAGTCTTCAAAAAACTCTGTATTATTATTACCTTTATAATTATTATTATTATTTGGCTTAAATTCGACTTGAGTCATTTTAGTAAAATTAAACCCGTTTTGTATGAATCGACACTCGACAGACTGCCCATAATAAAAACTATGTGGAAGGTCTACGGGAGGCTCGAGTTTCACATGAACTCTTGATTAGCGATGTTTTACAAAGTAAGCATTGAATAAACACGGTGCCGAGGAGTTGGCAAAAGGCTTACCTGAGTCTGAAGGACGGGAAAAGTGCCGTGAAAACCCCACATTTGTTAACCACCGCGGAGGCGGAAGTCAAGTTAGGAAAGCGCATGAGAGCCAGAGAGCACCGGAAGTTGACCCGCGGCAATAAAAGTACTTCACTTACTTATGGTACAATGATAGTGTACCTGTCATAAACAAGTACAGCTACCTTCAAAAAATTCATTGTACAGCTAGCATCACAAACTAGAACTCAAAATTGGGTCCTTCCGATCTTTGGAGCGCATACATTTTTGTGGAAATACAAGTTTACCTGGGGAAGTAATAGGTGTTCAGGAGAAATCACAGGGATGACATGCTAATAACACAAACTAACATTACATATAGCATATATAGCAGTCAGACAGTTGCCATAAGAATGATCTGGGTGCTATGTGGTTGGTCAAAAGTCAGGGCCCTTGTGACGTGGGCCCTGGATACTAGTTTGTGCAGCTCAGCCATGGATCTATAACAATAACTGGGTAGGATATTACTAGCTTGTAGCTGACGGACCCATAGGCTCGGGGGATTGCCCTGGTACTGCAGACTAAACAAGACTAAATTCACATGGGCTACCCATAAACTTTCTCCATAAAACTAAAAATCCACGGGTTTTCATTTAATCTACACTCTCGTGCAACAAACTCTGCTTGTTTTCCTCCTGCTCTGGCTCTGCTCTGATCAGCTAATCTGATTTGTCCCAACGCTGCCGTGCTCCTCTGTGCACGTGCATGAGAGCCACACACGGGTGCTTATTAGTATTGTATAGTTAGTAGAATTTCCCGAATATCAGATTCTGCTAATCTTTCGGTGCCCATGGTGGTCCATGCGCTCCTGAGCACAAGCCATTGATTTGAATACGCTATCTTTGATCATGGGTGATGAGCACAGCACTGATTGGCCTATAATTTTGCCCTGACTTTGCTCTTTCCAAAAAAGCACACAGATCAGTTGAAATATGACCCATTCACTCAATAATAAGTCATTCATAGAAATCTGAGCTTTTGTTACGTGCCGAGAAGTAGAACCAGTGCCACTTTTGTAAAATCTAAAGCCAATGAAGGGGGCCCTCGTGTGTAGGGGATTAGAAACTCATGTGTATCAGCTATCGATACACTCAGGCCCGTTAGAGGGGCTGTGCGACCTGTGCCATCGCACGGGGCCTCGCAATCTTCCTTCCTTTTTCATTTTCATTTTTTTTTTAAAATAAATACACTAGTTCAAGTGTCCCCAAAGGGCGGACTGCAGTCCAAGTTCGGACCCCTAGACCCCTTGTGATTTTTTTTGTTCAAAAGTACATTATTACAAGTAAAGTAACATTTTCACCAAAAGCGATTTGTAAACTGGCAGGCGAGAGGGCGGCTATGAACGTAGCGGGTCATCCGGAAAAAACTCCACGGAGCTGTCAGATAACTTAAGCAGTGTCTGAGTGAGGTACGAAGAAATGGGAATGAGCCCAGTGTACGGAGAGATTGACACTCGCGTCTTCTGTGTGAGGAGGAGGAGAGAGGTGTGTGAGTAGAGAAGGAGGAGGAGGAGCAGCGAGACAGGTGTGTGAGCGCTGTTATTGTCAATTTTTAGTCCGAATGTCCACATCAAAACCATATTATAAAAGCATTAGCAAACACTGTATACTCAGTGTGTGGAGAAGGAGGAGGAGGAGGAGCGTATAGGTTGTGGTCAGAGTGTGTGGAGGAGGAGGAGGAGGAGGAGCGTATAGGTTGTGGTCAGAGTGTGTGGAGGAGGAGGAGGAGCGTATAGGTTGTGGTCAGAGTGTGTGGAGGCGGAGGAGGAGAAGGAGCGTATGTTGTTGACAGCATGGCAAAAACGTTATTTGATGAGAAAAAAAATACAAGAAATCTTGACTCCGCCTCAAAGCCATTTTGGCGCTTTTTGCCGTAATCTATTAGAAGAAGAAGACTCCATTTGGTTCAATCTTTTGAGTTGCTATGCCATAGGACAAAAGAGCCAAGTCAGCTAAAAAGACCGCGATCAATATCGGAATGCTAAGCGGTGTGTGTGTGTGTGTGTGTGTGTGTGTGTGTGTGTGTGTGTGTGTGTGTGTGTGTGTGTGTGTGTGTGTGTGTGTGTGTGTGTGTGTGTGTGTGTGTGTGTGTGTGTGTGTGTGTGTGTGGTGTGTGTGTGTGTGTGTGTGTGTGTGTGTGTGTGTGTGTGTGTGTGTGTGTGTGTGTGTGTGTGTGTGTGTGTGTGTGTGTGTGTGTGTGTGTGTGTGTGTGTGTGTGTCCCCGTTGGAGCGAGGACACGCAGCTCCGCGCGTACTGATCTCTTTACGATCAGTATACAATTCATGTCAAAGATTATAACAGGGAAAACTTTCCTCAGATCCGGGAAAAAAAGTGTAAGGGCAGGGCCTCGCATTTCAAGTTCGCACAGGGCCTCGCACCCCCCTTGCGACGGGCCTGGATACCCAAAGGCCACATTGCAGCTCATGATAAAACAGTTTAAAAACATTTATTCATGACTTCCATCCATCCATTTTCATCTCTTTAATCCATTTCCGAGTTGGGAGGTTGGCAGAGCTGCACCCAATTCACAGAGCACCGGCCCCTCCTGCAGGTGCTGAGTCCACAGGGGGATGGCTTCTCTGCAGCTTAATCTTTCGACATGGGGGTTCCGGAAAAGTAGGGTTAAGCAAATAATAACGTATTCATTACATTATTGCTTCAAAAAAGGGCAGCCATTTCTAAAAATACAGGACACATTAGATTTTTAGACCCTAGATTCTAAGAAAGCAGGGCCTGGTTAGTGGTGTGTAATAGCAGATAACTGTGGATGTGCTCATCAGTCTGTACATAAAACATGCTCTTTATCAGAAGTCTCATACATGCAGCCTGTGGGCCCTCTGCAGCTCGCAAAAAGGTATTTTGAGGCCCCTGAGTGGACATCAAAGATAATTCAGTGAGGCCCTCACTGAGCGAGTCAAGTTATACACAATTTTAAAGCTAACTTTATAACAAAAACCAATCACATCATTTATTTTTCCATAAACATTCAACCCTAATTGCAATAATTTGTAAGTAAACTTGATTAAATCCAGCCGTCAACAACACTGAGCCTCATTGCCTTTAGTCCAAGTAAGTTTCAATCCAAGCAACTGCACTCATTTTGTTCATGGAAATACATATCAAACAATAAATTCATACTCCTATTCAAATAAATTAATTATTTGGTCAAAATAATTCCTTATTAAATAATAATAAGGCCTTCTTGGAGTCCCTGGGAAGGGTACTGGACAGTGCACCGAGCAGGGACTCCATTATTCTCCAGGTGGACTTAAACGCCCATGTGGGAAATGCCAGTGACACTTGGAGAGGGGGGATTGGGAAGAACGGTCCCCCTGATCTGAACCCGAGCGGTGTGCAGTCGTTGGATGTTCAAGCACAGGGGTGTCCACCAGTGCACGTGGCACCAGGGCACCCTAGGCCGGAGGTTGATGATTGACTTTGTTGTCGTGTAATCTGACCTTTGGCCGAGTGTCCGGGACATGTCAACCGATCACCACCTGCTCGTGAGTTGGATCCGCTGGCAGGGGAAGAAGCCGGTCAGATCTGGCAAACTCAAGCATGTAGTGAGGGTCTGCTGGGAATGTCTTGCAGAGCCCCCTGTCAGACGGACTTTCAACTCACACCTCTGGGAGAGGAGGGGGACATTGAGTCCCCGGTAAG